GGTTGGCTCGCCGAGGCAAAGCCTTCGGTCCAGCTAATGTGACGGAGCTGGTCGGCCAGCGACGAAGAAGTCTCCGGAGTAGGTTGATGAAGAGATGATGAAGCCCCCGGTCTAGCGATGCAGGTCGTGACGTGGTCGATGCAGGTGTGCCCGCTCCGTATAATTCATGGGGCGGCGATGTTGGTGACGATTTATCCTTCGCCATGATGAAGATGCGAAGAAATTGAGCTCGGCTCAACAAAGCGACGACGTGTCTAACGCAGGTCGGCCGCCGTGGAGTGATGTTGTCGGGCTGGTTTGACACCGGCGCGATGGTGAAGTTCGTATTGCAAGAATACTTTTAATACTACTGGGATGTGTTTGAGAATAAAACACAACACCCCATATGAAAACTTCCTTCAAAAAGGATGTCCGAGATCCCGTTCATAAAGAAGATGAATTCGGGTCGGATTCGTTCTCGCGCAGAAAACAGATCCAAAAAGTGACGCACTAATCGGAAGTTTCCCGGAGTTTGGACGGTCGGATCGAGCTGAATTTTTGGCAGGTGGTAGATATGGGAATTCTGCAGCAAATCAACGGTTGGATCCTCCAAAGGACATCCGAGCTAGATGCTGGATACCACGCCCTAAACTCGTCCGGATTCTCGTCCAGATTCAACAGGGCTCCGGTATATCGGAGATTGCCGGAGATTCCTCCATCGGAACTCGACGAAATTTTTGCAGGGTTGTTGTAGACTTAATTCCGCATAATTCCACCGAAGTAATCGTTTAAGCGACACTCGAGGATGTGGTGGCGGTGGATACAAGTTTGCTATCCAGAAAAAACAGCACGGTCGCCTGAGGGCAATGTTGACGTTGAGCCCCCGAGCTCCATGGATGACTCCTCCATGATCTTGATAGAGATCGGAGTTGGTGTTGATGAAGGCCTTCATCCGAACATGACGATTGTAGGTAGGGCGCAGTCCTCGGTCAAGCCAAGGTGACCAGTCGAGCTGGTGACCAAGAAGCCGACGTCGCAATTGACCTGCAGTCGAGCCATTGATCCTTTCGTCGATCACACAGCGGAACTCTCAATGAAAGCACCAATGTCGGTGTCAAAACCGGCGGATCTCGGGCAGGGGGTCCCAAGCAGTGCGTCTTAGGATCAATGGTAACAGGAGGCAAGGGACACAATGTTTACCCAGGTTCGGGCCCTCTCGATAGAGATAAAACCCTACGTCCTGCTTGATTAATATTGATGATATGGGTAGTACAAGAGTAGATCTACCACGAGATCAAGGAGGCTAAACCCTAGAAGCTAGCCTATGGTATGATTGTTGTTGTATATATCTCTATCGACTAGCCTGGCCTCGGTTTATATAATGCACCAGAGGCCTAGGATAACAAGAGTCCTAGCCGAATACGCCGGTGGGGGAGGAGTCCTTGTCTTGATCGCCAAGTCTTGTGGAATCTTCCTTGTATGCGGCAATTGTCTGGACTGGCCCATGAGTACACGGCCATGGGGGTCCTCGGCCCAATCCAACTGACCGGGAGACGACGCGTTGAGTACCCCCTAGTCCAGGACACCGTCAGAGACTCAACTGGGTCTTGCTCTAAAGACTCCATGTCTATGGTGGAAGGAGCACATCAAGCTTCTGAACTTCACGCCTCCACCTCCTCCTCCTCCGGTGAGTCAGGGCACTCCGCCTCCTCCTCCTCCTTCTCCGGCGAGTGATCAGGCACTCCACCTCCTTCTCCTCATTCAGGCAGCCCGCCTCCTCCTCCACCTTGTCAGCAAAGGCAGAACATAGACGACGCCGCTCTGGCTGCTCCGGCACGTCGGACCACTCCGCCTCCTTCTACTACTCGCCAGCAGCAACGGAAGAGAGCCTCTGCCGCTCCGGCGTCTAGCAGTACAACCAGAGGCGGGAGGCAATACAGATTTGGTCCATCTCTCAAGCCTGTAGAGAAGTTACCATACGAGATGACCGTGGAGGAAAACGCGAAGATTGTTGAAGCCCAAGTGAAGGACTTCTATGAAACGCGAAGAGCTATGAAACATCCACCTCCGAAGGAGAAGATAGATCCGGTGAAACGAAGCGCACTATCAGTGCCCTAAAGAGATCACCACCGCCTTCGCCGAATAACAACCATCTCCGCTGTCTTAAAAAGACATTGCAAGAAGCACGACGGTCGGGAAGTACTTCAACTGACAAAAGGTTAAAAGAACGAAGAAGTGGGAAAAATTCTCCAGCTCGGAGAACAGGAAAACCAATCATTCCCCACGCTCAAGGTGTCTAGCGATATCGTCGCAAATCAGCCGCTGATGCTGCCAGGTACAATCCTGGTGAATACCTTCCCGACTATGTAGATTTTGATACAATGGAGGTGGACGAATTCAAATACCATTACGGGAAGACTCTCGTCAAAGATGGAACTCTTGCTCTAACAATGATGATGCGAAGATTCCATGAATGGTACAGGAAAACCTGCAGCGAATCTGGGAAGGATGCTTTGTTGATGAGAATTAAAGAGGACCACGACTTCATTGGCCAAGAACTGTTAACTATTGATTTTGACGAGTGTTTCCAGTTCTACAATCAAAAGGCCCTCGACAAATCACTTATGGCTAGCTATTGTCTGTAAATACTACTTTCTGTAATTAAGTCTCTCTATATATAGCTCAACTCTTTCATTGCATGTATATATAATTATCCTCACTATATTATGTAGATTGAAGATCGTGGAATGCAGAAAAGCACAAATCTATGACATTGGGTTCATTAACCCAAATGTCATACATGAATGGACAGTTCAATAAAATGTCACAGAAACCAAGGACAAGTTGCCACAATCATTGCTCAAAAATCAAACCAAAGATAAATACTCTTTCCTTACAACTTGAATTGAGTGTTACTGTCTTTTGCATATTCGGTTTCCCTTATTACTCAAGGTTATAGTCATGTAACTGATGACTTGTGCATGTGTGCGCAGTTCTACTTTATTCTTCTAGTGATTAAGCTTGAGAAGGGAGAAGTAACTGTATTAGACTCGAGACGAAAAGATCCCGAGGACTATGCGGACATGACTTGAATGCTCCAGAAGTAAGTTCAATCAATCATTATCGCACCATATCGGCAACTTTGTTTATTTCCTGGTATCAAGTAATTATTTTCTTTGTCTGGCAGGGTTTGGAAAGAGTTCACCGCAATTTCTCCGGGACTGCCGACCGAGCTGACATTTAAACACACGAAAGTAAGTACTACTACCTAGTTCCTCGCATCTCCCACTGATTCTAGCTAGTTTCATCAATACCATTTAGCATGCTTGCTTATCAGTTTGATTGACATCTATTTCTCATAAAGTGCTTGTGGCAGGAACAAGGAAATGATTTCTATGGATACTACGTTTGCGAGTCCATCTACAACGAGACGGCCAAGAATAAGTGGGGCTACTCTGAAAAACAGTATGAAGTGCGTAAGCAAAAATATTCACAATTGTATTTTATTACCATCATTTGTGTTGAGTTTCATTCATACACATGTATTGACCCTCTTCTTCGATTTAGATCTAGCAGCTGCGGGATGAGCTCCTACCACATGATCAGATAAAAGCAATTCAAGAGGAATTGGCGGGATTATTTCTTGACCACGTCATCAGTAAAGCCGAAGAATACCATGTGGAACTTGACTTCAGATATTAGGGATTGTAATATATCTTATATTGTATATATGTAGCTAGTAGCGTCGGATAGATATACGAAAACTTGTTGTTTGACCAATCTCTTGGAGAAGGAGAGGTCGATCACTTCTCTCTGTATATGTTCATGACGATCTTCTGTACTTAATGGTTTCCTTCACTTTCTTACTAGCTAGCATGTCGAGTCCTCTCTATACAAATAGTACGTAGCGTCGACTAAGCACGGAGATATGAAAGGTCACTTCTCTCTATTAGCTAGGTAACACAATATATGAAACCCCTAATTAAATTAACCCTCCAAAACCCCCAACCCCCCCCCCCTCAAAAACAAAACAAAAACTCCATCTCCTGATACGCTGACGCGTGGATGCCTTTTGGTCCCGGTTGGTGTTACCAACCGGGACCAAAGGCCCTCCTGCCGGGGCTCGCAGCGGCCACGTGGAGCCCCACCTGTCCCGGTTCGTGAGCGAACCAGGACTAAA